GTTTTGAAAGCTTTGTTTTTGCCCACTCACACTTTCTATTTTGCGCCATTCCAGGTTCTAGATAGAAGTTTGTATCGGTGGCTCACGAGGACTTCATGGCGGTTCTAACAGACATCCACCAGTGTAGGGTTTCTTTTATGATCTTTATCATTATTACTTAGTCTTCTGGATTGCACTTTGATACCTATGCTCTGTTTGGGTGTGTCTTTACTCTAATCACTTTCACTCGTACTTATAGGCTAGTCTAAGGTAAGATAACTAGTGGTTTTTATTTATTCGCATTTTCACATTGTTACCACTTCTGCACAGCGCACATGATTATGTCACCTTCACGTGACGACTTGCATGCCTCGATTGAGGTCGGGGTGTGTCAATGAATACCACGTCTTAAGGGTTGCACGGTTTTTCAAAAGGTTTCACAAAACTTAATGAGTCATGCATGTTTAGATTTGATTTGAATACCACAGACGGATTGCCTGTTTGATATACGCTCTATGTTGGGGGTCCAAGTAGGCATATATTAGGAAAACCTAACCTTCGAATATGCATGTATAAGTCATAAGTACTTGAGAGAACTATATAGGATTGTTATGGTGACGGCGGATCCCTAGTGCTTTCTTAATTTGATTTTTCCAAAACTGTTTTCTTTTCCCTTCAACTTTAATATTGCAGATTGTCTTATTTTTATTCGTTAAATTCGTTTTATTAAATTGGGTCATAAAAATCAAATCAATCACCTCAATTTTCTCCTTTACAACAATTAATTGGAATTTGATTTGCTTCGATTTATTTAATAATCCTTGTGGAAAACGTGTGACGACCAGTTCCAAACTAATATATACATTTTCTCCCTGAGTGTGTAAAGTGATGAATATGCCCTCGTTGGCTTAGTGACGTGGATGTACATATCTAGTTTTAAATTATTTTCTCGCTATCGTAATTAAATCGTACTCGGCGTCACGAGCGCATTAACGCCAATTAGGGTCGAATCAGTTTTCTAATGAAAATGTTACTACGATTAAAGAACAAGAATAGGTAGAATTATATTTTAGGGTGGAATATATATATTCTTGTCCACCAATCACCTTAATTCCTACTTTATTAGGCCCAATTAGATTTTGGGTTTGATTTCAATTTTCTTTGGGCCATTTAACATAACTTTTTCTCATCTCTCACTGCAGCCCAATCAGGGCCATGATATTTTTCTTTCTGGCCAATCTCATACGTGCGCATACACACACACACATACGCATACCCTTACCCTCTCACCTTTTCTCGATCCTTCTCCTTCGCCTGTACACCCGAGAGCACACCCACACTCAAACTATACCAAAACTTCACAGATCGACTTTACTGAGGCTATTATCACATTCTTCTCAACTTCACAAACCTAACCCTACCCTTAGTTTATAGAATGGACGTCGGAAACGTGAGAAACTATAGCTCTGACAAGGAGCTGATTTCCTTCGACACGATTGTGGGCATTTCACAGGGTTTTAGGGTTTAAGGAAGCCTCTAATCAACTCCATAGAGACCCTAGAGTAGGTTTAGGGTGGAATTGACGTCAGGATAAAAGGATTCATAGAGTTGCAAACTTAGCCGGAGGTTTTGAAGGTTTTTCCAACCACTTTCCATTGGTTTTTGGACCTCTAATAGGTATGGTTGTGTTATACTCTTCAAGAGCTTTAAATCCGTATAAATTTCATGGATTTTGGTTAAGAAATGAAGAAGATATTGAACTTTGAAAAATTTTCAGAAATCGGCGAACCAGACGGTGGCCGGCGGCGGACTTCGGCGAGTCACTGGAGAAGAAGGAACATATTCCGTTAACTTTAACAGAATATTCTAAAGGCGTTAAGTAATTTTAACAGAATATTCCCTAACGCCGTTAGGGGTTCTGTCAACGGCCGACGCGTGTGGCCGCGTCGGCCTCGGATGGCGCGTGAGGGCGCATGTGATGTCCAAAAATTATTCTAAAAATATGGAGGTGTTCGTAGTGTTGAGTAGATCATGTTGGTATATTCAAAAACCCCATTTGAGCAGCGTATGAGGAATTCAACCTAAGTTTTGTTTATGTGCTATTGAATTAACGTTAAATTAGTTATTTCGCATATAGCTGACACATATCCCGAAGACAAATGTGGACAAGCGAGGCTAGGGGGCTACGATCCTGCTACTTATCAGTGAGTGGCATTTGCTTTCTATATATACATATGTTATGATTTTCATAACGTTTTTCTTAAATGATTTATGCCTTGAATGCCATGTCGTAAATGAGTTGCATTTTGAGTATTGCATTGTTGTATCTGTGAATTATATTGTCTGATGCTGCAAAGACTCAGGTAAGCTTTAGGTGAGTATGATGTGATTGAATGGATTGTATTGCATTGGTATGCATATATTTATTTAGAGCTCATCATGACTGCACCCCGGTATTAGTGCTCCCACCTGGGGCTAGGGCCAGCCTTCACGTGATCGTTCACCTTTTGCACCGCACGCTCACCTTGGATCCAAGTTTGGTGAGCCTGTCGTACAGACCACAATAGGTGGTTCCGACTCATAGATGACCCGTGATTTATCGCACAGCCTTCACATGATCGTAGCACTTGAGTGTATATATTTATATCCAGCTTGTTGTACAGGTCACAGTAGGTGACTCCGACTTGTGTGCTAGCCTAGATTGATGAGCTATAGATCCAGTCGTACAGGTCACGTTAGGTGACTCCGACTGGCATAGTATTTTATATTAGTTTCACACCTGGTTTACATTTATTATTGCTGAGATATTATGATATGGCATACTTCAGTTTTTTGCTGATCTTGCGTATTGGTTTTCCATATCTATGTAGTATTATTTTCTGGAAACTATACGGGTTTTACAGAGAGGGGTTATTAATTTCAGAAAAGATAAATACGTTTTCAAATGCTTTGTTTTTGCCTACTCACCTTTCTGTTTTGTGCCCTTCCAGGTTTTAGGTAGTTGATCACCCTTGGTGGCTCACGAGGACTTTACGACGGTTTGGATGTCTCCATAAATAAGTAGGGATCTTCTCCCTGTTTGTATAATTAGTACTTAGTTGGTTCGACTGCACTTTCGTTTACCTATGCTCTGATATGTGTGTATCTTATACTTGATCACTTTCACACACTTATATTTTATCTCTAGCTTAAGTAGGTTTAGTTTTGGTTTTTATTTAGATGCATTTTTCTATTATTATCACTTTTGTTGCACACGTGGCTACGTCACCCTCACGTGACGGCCAGCATGCCTCGACTCTGATCAGGGTGTGTCAAAACGACCTTGCAAGATCTGTTTATAATACAATAACCTTGTCATTCTTACAAGTAATATAGGAGTTTTTAACCCTTTTGCGTGTGTGGTAAAATTCCTACCAGTCATCATCCTCGAGCCTGTTACGTTAGTATTTAAAATTCTCTATGCAACTCATTGATCCAATTAATGTTTTTTTATTGTTTGTTTCGCACTTTTTAGTGTTCATCATATTCATATTTTCAATATGTTCTAGCACTTTATAATTTTTTGTCGTTCTATTTTGCCATTTGCGTATCTCAATACAATTATGTATTTTTTTATAGTATAACTAGACATTTATTTATATGTTGTATAATAAGCTTAATTACAATAAATCAAAAAACGCTTAGGCCCCTACCTAGACACCCTCCTAAAGCCTGGACTCCTAAGTGCTATATCCCTACTCACTACCCGACTAACACCTAACTCCTTTTTAGAACCTTAGATAAAATAATAGATTACTTATAGAGCTCAAAAAAAAAAAAAAAAACTAATTACCATTTTTATATCAAAACCAAACACCAAACAAATTTGTATTAAACATTTAGGACACATCATTTGACATAAGAAACTGAAAACACATGTACCAAAATTTCAATCAAGATGATCATACTCACAATTTCATAAGAAACTAATTACCATCTTTTATTTTTTTATTATTTTTATTTTTAGTTTCATGATTTCACTCATTTTCTATGTCAATTTAAAATAGCTTCTTAAATAATTTAGATACATAATTTGACATAACAAATAATCATGACACATGAACGAGTGTGGCAAGTCACCTCGCTTCATCGGCATCTACAGGATGGGTGCCTTGTTTGACACTCTCTTCGGTACTATCCTAGGATCACATCCAAGTTCAACACCGCATAGCGACCCTTGCTAGCCAGAGGGATATTTTGGGCCAACATCATGTATGCTTTGATGTTTGGACACACATTGACGGTCGTATGACATCTGCTTTGTCCTACTAGAAGGCTCACCTCAGCGAGCCTATTGGGTTAGTATTTAAAAATCTATATGCAACTCGTGGATCCAATTAAAGCTTTTTATTTTATATAATGCTTAATTTTGTTTGCTTCATACGTTAAGTGACTTAGGGGATGAGGATGCATTGGTTAATGGCTGATTCAAGGACAACTTTATGACCCAGGGTGATTTCATGAGGTAAATATCATCTTAACAGTCAGATGATGATTGTAGTTATACTGTTAGTAACTTAGGGGTGAGGATGTATTGGTTAATGGCTGATTCAAGGACGACTTTATGACCCATGGTGATTTCATGGGGTAAATATAGTGTCAGATGACGATTATATTAAACACACATATTTACATCAATTATATGAAACCGTCACATAATGATTGTATTAAATATATGTAAGTATTATACCTAATTCTACAAATACCATCCAAATCCAATTTAGAAGTAGGTTTTTAAGTAGGGATTAAAAAACTAAATTTGCAAAACAGATGACATGATTATTGATAATTGAAATATTACTTAAATGTTGATTAACGTATTTATTTCTATCGATAACAAATGATTTAATTTGTAAATTTGATTTAAAATTTTTATCATCCTCGCCAGCAAAAATAAAAGAAAGCCTTGCGAAAACAAAAAAAGCAGAAGACGAATCACGTTGAGTCCAGAGACACACACAGAGCGCAGGGCAACAGCAGCTGCGGATAAACCAACCAGAAAACCCGAGTCAGAGTTCCTGAGCCGACTCAGTCGAGTGAGCGAATGAGAGATGCTTCTAGTGCAGAAGCGGCATCAGCAGCAAGATAACGATGCAAGGACTTCATCACCAACAGCAGCAACTCGCGGCGCTTCTCTCCGTCGCCATCCCCAAGGACGATTCCGCCTCCGCATCTGCCCCATTCTCTAACTCCGACGACGACGACTCCGCTCGACTCGCCGCCATCAATTCGCTCCACCGCGCCGTTCTCTACCAGCCCAACTCCGTCCTCGTTACTCACTCCGCCAATTTCCTCGCACAGGGCTTCTCTCAGCTCCTCTCCGATAAGTAAATTCCTCTTCCACTTCACTTTCGTTTTCTTTCTTTAAAATTACAACTTGGGTTTTTGTTTCCTTACTAGTTTTTTTTTGTTTAATTATATATTAAATTGGAATTTGCGCATGGACGACGTCCTACTGGTTTTGTTTGGCTGTAAAATTAAGGAATTAGAACCTCTGGAATTTTAGTTTCGATTTTATGTTGCTGCTTTGTTTTGGTTTAAATTTTAATTATCTACTAAACTGATTTTCGTGGTACTTCTCTTGTGAATGGTTTTAGTTTAAACAAGTTGCTGGTTGTGTTTGTTTGCTGAAAAAAGTGTAAAATAATTAAGGGATTTGAAGTATGAAGCTTGCGTTATTCAGTTTCGGGATGCATATATCACAGTAGATGTTCTAACTCACAATGCCGAAACCCAAAAAACTTACTATTCCTGATTAAGATTTATTGGATCACCACTTAAAGTGGCAATATTTTCGACTCAAAACATGAAAAAAAACTATTTTAGGCAAAAGGGTTTTGAATGGTAAAAAAGTGGGAAATTATCTATTGTGGTTGAAAGCATATGTGTTTATGTCATCTCTCTGGATTTTGCATTGTAGATCGTATGCAGTGAGGCAAGGGGCGGCTGTAGCATACGGGGCTCTTTGTGCTGTGTTTTGTTCGATCCCTATAACGTCAAATGGAAGACAAAACCATGTTATGCTCGGAAGCTTGGTTGACCAGTTCATTGGTTGGGCCTTGCCGTTGCTTAGTAATGGCGGCGCTGGAGATGGGACCATGGAACTATCATTGGATAGCCTACGGGAGTTTCTCAATGTTGGGGATGTTGGTGGGATCGAGAGATATGTTTTATCAATTCTCAAAGCATGCCAAGTACTTCTGGAGGATGAGAGAACCTCCTTGAGTTTGTTACACCGGCTTCTTGGCGTTTTGACTTTGATTTCCTTAAAGTTTTCTAGATGCTTCCAGCCTCATTTTCTTGACATTGTTGATCTACTTCTTGGCTGGGCATTGGTACCAGACCTTGCTGAATCGGATAGACGAATTATAATGGATAGTTTTGTGCAGTTTCAGAGTCATTGGGTGGGTAATTTGCAGTTTTCTCTTGGACTGCTGTCAAAGTTTCTAGGTGACATGGATGTTTTGCTTCAGGATGTAAGTCATGGAACCCCACAACAATTCCGAAGGTTGCTTGCATTGCTTTCTTGCTTTTCAACAATTTTGCAGTCCACTGCTTCTGGGTTGCTGGAAATGAATTTACTTGAACAAATCACTGAACCTCTTAACAGAATTGTTCCTAGGTTATTGGGATGTTTATCTATGGTCGGAAGGAAGTTTGGGTGGTTGGAATGGATTGGGAATTTATGGAAGTGTTTGACTCTTTTGGCAGAAATACTTTGTGAAAGGTTTTCCACCTTTTATGCTTATGCAGTTGATATTTTATTTCAAAGTTTGGAATTGGACAATACTAGCCAACCAATGGGAACTGGAAGAATTACATCTGTTCAAGTTCATGGAGTTTTGAAAACTAATCTCCAGTTATTATCTTTGCAAAAGTTTGGCCTTTTGCGGTTATCTGTGCAGAAAATACTGCAATTTGATGCTCCAATATCACAGCTGCGTTTGCATCCTAATCACCTTGTAACTGGCAGTTCTGCTGCCACTTATATTTTCTTGCTTCAACACGCGAATAATGAAGTTGTTGAACAGGCAGTTACATCGTTAATAGAGGAGCTAGAGTTGTTGAAGGGCATGCTAGAGAAAGCCATGGGCGATGGAGATGGGTTTGTTGCATGTTCTAAATTCTTTTCAAAACTTGAATTGTTTTCATTGATTAAGTTTGATTTGAAAGTTTTGTTGACATCTGTTTTCTTGGGCGGGGATAATAGTTTGAATAGTCAACCAGACATTGCAAGCCTATATCTTATGCGGTCAGAAAAGTTATTGAATTTTATTATGGAGAAATTTAATCCTTTTGACTTACCAATTCTGGCATATGTGGATTTGCAAGTCAATGTTATTAAGACATTGGACAGGCTAACAACAGTTAAGTTCTTAAGCAAGTGCGCTGTTACATACCATAGCAGTGGGAAATCATCTACAGTTGCTACTGCTGATAAATTTCTTAATAGTAAGTACTTGACTAATGAACAGTCAGTTGTGGTTGTTGAGAATCTGAGGAAGTCTAGTGCGTTCTTTGTGAAAGCTCTCCATGTTTCTTCTCCTCTTGCAGTTAAAACAGTTGCGCTTGATTGGGTTCAAAGAATCTGTGAGAATGTTATTGCTTATAACGAGAAATCAAACATAGAAGCTCATTTCTATGAAGTGTATGGCAATATTAAGATTATTGGGAATATGCTTTTCTCAATTTTGGATGCCGCATCTGACAGGGAACCAAAAGTGAGGTCACATGTTGCATTAGTATTGGAGTTATTAATGCAGGCAAGGATTGTACATCCTCTTTACTTTTCTTGCATGGCTGAAGTGGTCTTAGGAAAACTTGGTGATCCAGATAGTGAAATAAAAAATGCATTTGTTAGGCTGCTTTCTATTGTTGTGCCTACAACACTGTATGCATGTGGGATTCGTGATTATGGGACATCTACTTCATCTAGGGCTGTTGTTCTTTGGTTAGGCAACAGTTCTAACTTGCACTGGAAGCAAATATTTGCCTTGAAGCAGCTCCCCCAGCAACTTCACTCGCAACAACTTGTTACCATATTGAGTTACATATCCCAAAGGTGGAAGGTGCCTCTTTCTTCTTGGATTCAACGACTTATTCATAGTTGTCGAATTTCAAAAGATTTTGTTTCAAGTCAACTTGAGGAAACTGGAAAATCTGGTGCCACTGGTGTATGGTTGGACTTTAAAATGGATGAAGATTTTCTTGAAAAGCATTGCTCAGTTAATAATCTGGCTGGTGTTTGGTGGGCTGTACATGAAGCTGCTAGGTATTGTATTACCACGCGCCTTCGGACTAACCTTGGTGGGCCTACTCAGACCTTTGCAGCCTTGGAGCGAATGCTTTTGGATGTTGCACACCTGCTGCAGCTTGACAGTGAGCAAAATGATGGGAACTTAAGTATGATCGGGTCTTCTGGTGCTCATTTGTTACCAATGAGGTTACTATTTGATTTTGTTGAGGCGCTGAAGAAAAATGTATACAATGCATATGAGGGGTCTGCTGTTCTGCCGTCTGCTACTCGCTCGAGTTCCTTATTCTTTCGAGCCAACAAGAAAGTTTGTGAAGAGTGGTTTTCTCGTATATGTGAGCCAATGATGAATGCTGGATTAGCTCTACAATGCCATGATGCCACGTTTCAGTATTGTGCTCTGCGTTTACAGGAGCTCAGGAATCTTGTGGCTTCTGCTTTGAATGAAAAGTCTAGGGCACAGGTAACTGAGAACCTCCAGAATATCAGGGGCAGGTTTTCTGCAGACATCTTGAGGGTTTTACGGAACATGGCGTTGGCTTTGTGTAAGACTCACGAATCAGAGGCTTTAATTGGCCTTGAAAAATGGGTTTCAATGACACTCTCTCCCTTTCTTGTGGAGGAAAACCAGTCCCTCAGTAACAGTGGGATGCTGGGACCCTTTACATGGATCACTGGGCTTGTATATCAGGCAGAAGGTAAATATGAAAAGGCTGCTGCACACTTTATTCACTTGCTACAAAATGAGGAGTTGTTGAGTTCCTTGGGTTCGGATGGTGTACAGTTTGTCATTGCACGCATCATTGAGTGTTATACTTCTGTTTGTGATTGGAAATCTTTAGAGTCCTGGTTATTAGAGTTGCAAACACTTCGTGCTAAGCATGCTGGTAAGAGTTATTGTGGTGCTCTGACGACAACTGGGAATGAAATCAATGCAATTCATGCCTTGGCACGGTATGATGAGGGTGAATTTCAGGCAGCATGGACATGCCTTGGTTTGACACCTAAAAGTAGCAGTGAGCTCACACTTGATCCAAAATTGGCCTTGCAAAGAAGTGAGCAGATGCTTTTACAGGCAATGCTTCTTCAGAATGAGGGAAAGGAAGATAATATCCCCCATGAATTACAGAAGGCCAGGTTAATGCTGGAGGAAATGTTGTCTATTTTGCCGCTTGACGGGTTAGAAGAGGCAGCACCACATGCTATCCAGTTGCACTGCATATTTGCATTTGAGGAATTTTTCAAGATTAAAGGCAACCAAGACAAACCCAGGCAACTTCAGTCAATATTAAGTTCATATGTCCAACTTATGCAGCCACAAATAGGCAGGGTCCATCTGGACTGTAACCCTTGGTTAAAAGTTCTTCGAGTTTATCAAACCATTTCCCCAATTTCTCTAGCTACCTTAAAGCTCTCTATGAATTTGTTGAGCTTGGCCCGCAAACAAAAAAACCTACTGTTGGCAAACCGTCTAAACAACTTTCTCAAAGATCACATATTGCGTTGCTCCGGGGAAAGCAACCATGACTTTCTCATCTCATATTTGCGGTATGAGGGTATCCTGCTAATGCATGCTGAAAACAAGTTTGAAGATTCTTTAACGAACCTGTGGTCTTTTGTGCGTCCTTGCATGATTTCTTCGCCATCGCCATCTATAGGTTCTGATGCTGACAATGGTATTCTGAAGGCTAAGGCTTGCTTGAAACTCTCAAATTGGCTTAAACAGAACTATTCAGATTCAAGGGTAGATGACATTGTTCTTAATATGCGGTCAGACTTAGATATGACTGATTCCTCTTCTCCTGGCAGAGGTAGTGCCTCACTTGGCAATGAGATTCTAATCTCTAAAACACGTTTGGGTCCTATTATTGAGGAGATTGTGGGCACAGCTACAAAACTGTCTACTCAACTATGCCCCACCATGGGCAAATCCTGGATTTCTTATGCGTCATGGTGTTTTGGTCAGGCCAGAGACTCTCTCTTAACGCCAGATGAAAATACCCTTCACTCATGCTCATTTTCTCCCATCCTTGCTCATGAAGTTCTCCCTGAGAGATTCAAGCTAACTGAAAATGAGATCGTAAAAGTAGAATCTTTGCTTTTACAGCTCTTCCAGAATAAGGATGACAGTTTTAGAGCTGAAGATGGAGAGTGGAACTCTTCTCTTGATTCTTCTGAACTGAGAAACGACAACCCTGTGATGGCTTTGGTGCAGCAAGTAGTGAATATTATTGAAGCTGTTTCTGGGGCACCTGGTGCAGAAATTTCTAGTGATGATTGCCTTTCTGCTACTCTAGCTTCTCAGTTGAAGATCTTTCTTCGTGGAAACTTTGGCCTAAATGAAACTGCTTTAATTTCTGTAGTTGATGAGTTAGTTGTTGTTTGGTGGTCTTTAAGGAGGAGAAGAGTGTCACTCTTTGGGCATGCAGCTCATGGCTTTATAAAGTATCTTTCGAATTCATCTGCAAAAATTTGCAATAGTGGCTTGTCTGAATCTGATTCTGAGTCTCTGAGGCAAAAAACCGGCAGCTATACTTTGAGGGCTACATTGTATGTCCTACATATTCTTCTCAAATATGGAGCTGAGTTGAGAGATGTACTTGAACCTGCTCTTTCAACTGTTCCTTTGTCCCCATGGCAGGTAAGCGGCTCTTCCTTGGTTTATTTCGTTCATACTAATTTTCGGTGCAGGAAGATTTGATTGCACTCTCATTATGATCTCATTTCTAGGAAGTAACACCCCAATTGTTTGCGCGGTTAAGTTCTCATCCCGAGCAAGTGGTTCGGAAGCAGTTGGAAGGCTTACTGATGATGCTGGCCAAGCAATCTCCTTGGTCCATTGTCTACCCAACACTAGTCGATGTGGATGCTTATGAGGAGAAGCCTTCAGAGGAGCTTCTGCACATACTTGGTTGTCTGGTAAGGAAATTTCTTTCATTAATGTGCATTAGACTCAAACTTCGGGAATAACAATGAAGGGAACACTTCCATGATAACTTCGCAGTTTTTAATAATAACAAATTAGTAATTAGTTTATGCTAATGCTTCTTTATATTTAAAATGACGTATTATTTTTTATAAAGAAATTGCATTGGTTATATCACGCAAATGGTGTTACCTATCCCAAATTTTGTTCATTCAAGATTCTGTTTATTTTTACTTACCTTGTTTTACATGGAACATAATACACTTTACGCATACTCATGTTACATGCAGAGTGAACTATACCCAAGATTGATTCAGGATGTTCAGCTCGTGATAAGTGAGCTGGGAAACGTTACTGTTCTTTGGGAGGAGCTATGGCTCAGCACCCTTCAAGATCTTCACACAGGTATGATTGACCTCGCTTAAATGAGGCTTTTGCTGCTTTTGATGCCATTTATTTGAACATCTTTTGGGTTTTAGATGCCAAAAATGATTTGGGAAGTAAATCTTCTCTTGTCAGTTTTATGCAACTTGGATATGAAATTATATTCTAGTGACTAATGTGCAGGCATTACTCACAAATGAGGTGCTGCATGCTGGGACCTGAATATGCATGCACCAGACATAAGCATTGGTGTACTGTTTTTCAATCTGACCCATTTGTTTTTATTGATTTTTCTTTCAGATGTGATGAGGCGCATAAACGTGTTAAAAGAGGAAGCTGCACGAATTGCAGAAAATGTTACTCTTAGCCAGAGTGAGAAAAACAAGATAAACGCTGCTAAATATTCAGCCATGATGGCTCCTATTGTTGTGTCCTTGGAACGTCGTCTGGCTTCTACATCTCGGAAACCTGAAACTCCTCATGAAGTATGGTTCCACGAGGAGTATAAAGATCGGTTGAAATCAGCGATCACAGCTTTCAAGACTCCTCCAGCATCCGCTGCAGCACTTGGAGATGCATGGCGTCCATTTGATAACATTGCTTCATCCTTAGCATCTTATCAGAGGAAGTTATCAATTCCTTTAAGTGAAGTTGCACCACAATTGGCTCTACTGTCATCGTCTGATGTTCCAATGCCTGGTCTTGAGAAGCAAGATACGGTCTCTGAATCTGACAGAGCTCTCAGTGCTAATCTCCAAGGAATTGTCACCATTGCATCTTTCTCTGAGGAAGTGGCTATCATATCAACCAAGACTAAACCTAAGAAACTTGTTATTGTTGGTTCTGATGGTCAAAAGTACATGTATCTCTTGAAAGGCAGGGAAGATCTCCGCCTTGACGCTAGAATAATGCAGCTCTTGCAAGCTATAAATGGTTTCCTGCATACATCTCTTGCAACTCACAGCCACTTTCTTGGTATTCGCTATTATTCTGTGACTCCAATTAGTGGCCGTGCTGGTCTCATCCAGTGGGTAGACAATGTAATTAGTATATACAGCATCTTTAAGTCTTGGCAAAGCCGCATCCAACTAGCTCAGCTCTCAGCAGTGGGTGGTGGCAGTTCGAAAAGTCCTGTTCCTCCAGCTGTTCCCCGACCCAGTGATATGTTCTATGGTAAAATCATACCAGCACTCAAAGAGAAAGGTATAAGGAGAGTAATTTCCCGAAGAGACTGGCCTCATGAGGTGAAGCGTAAAGTTCTTTTGGAACTTATGAAGGAGATTCCTAGACAGCTTCTTCATCAAGAACTTTGGTGTGCTAGTGAAGGATTCAAAGCCTTCAGTTCGAAACAGAAGAGGTAATTAAGACCCTGGAAAAGCTCTTCGTTCCTGTACTAATAATCTTCGTTGCATTAATTTATATAATTTACTAAGCTTAACAACCTGCTTCGGTTCTATTAATTGTATTGTTGGTGGAGCTTCCTGTTCTTCAAACTAGTCATCATACATTAGAGCATTCTTAGTTTAGCATATATATTATCATTCAAAGGCGATGTCTCACATGGTATCCACTTCTCTTAAATCGCATATACTGTTAGCAGGTATACGGCTCATGGAGTTACGAGAACAGGGTAATACACACACACACACACACACACACACACACACACACACATATATATCTATATATCTATATATAAACGTTGGAGTACAAATTAGTGATGTACTGGGCTTAATGATCAGTTTATCTTCCTTTTTTTCAGTATAGTATAGCTTTTTTTCATTCTAATATATGGTGGTATTCGACTATTAGTTTTTTTGGGCGATCAGACACACTTGTTTCATAAATAAAATATAATGTATATTGTAGATTTAGCTTTTAATGTGTACTTCATTTTGTAGGTTTTCCGGAAGTGTTGCTGCCATGAGCATGGTGGGCCACATTCTTGGCCTTGGGGATAGACACTTGGATAATATTCTAATGGATTTTTGTAGTGGTGATGTAGTCCATATTGATTACAATGTCTGTTTTGATAAAGGGCAAAGACTGAAAATTCCAGAAATTGTTCCCTTCCGCCTTACACAGACCATTGAAGCAGCATTAGGGATGACGGGGATAGAAGGTACCTTTAGGTCAAACTGTGAAGCAGTTATTGGTGTTTTGAGGAAGAACAAAGACATACTCTTGATGTTACTGGAAGTGTTTGTTTGGGACCCGCTTGTGGAATGGACACGGGGAGATTTTCATGATGCTGCTGCAATTGGTGGTGAAGAAAGGAAGGGCATGGAATTGGCTGTCAGTCTCAGTTTATTTGCATCTCGTGTACAGGAAATTCGTGTTCCCTTACAGGTAATCATTCTGAAACCTAAGCTTCTGTGCATTTGCACTGCAGTGATTCTTTGGCACTCCCTTAAATTAGTTAATTTATGTCTGGATGACTAGAAAGCATCTCGATATACCTTGAATTTATACCTGGCACATTCTGTGTGATTCTCACAATTTTTATCATGTGTCTGCAAATATCCTGAAGTTGCAGTTATTGTCCCTATACCTATGTATCTGACAATTAAAGTAATGTTTTCAGGCTTTCTCTAATTTGTTTGTACCTTTATCTTTGGTTATGTGTGTCCAACTGTCCATAAATATATGTTTTAAGTATTTATATGCAGTGGAAGTTTGATTATTTGAATGACACCTTGATACCATTTAACTGAGAGCAGGAACATCACGATCTTTTATTGGCTACTCTACCAGCTGTTGAATCTGCTCTTGAGGTGGGTACATGCTTTTCACTTTATTTTGTTTCTTATTTTTGTTCTGCCGACATTTGTTAATGACGTTTGGGAAATGTTGACCAGAGGTTTGCTGATGTTCTAAACCAATATGAACTTTCATCTGCACTCTTTTATCGAGCTGATCAAGAGAGGTCTAGCCTAATTCTGCATGAAACGTCTGCGAGATCAATGGTTGCTGAAGCTACTAGTAATTCAGAGAAAATTCGTGTATTGTTTGAAATTCAGGCTCGAGAATTTGCTCAGGCAAAGGCCCTGGTTGCTGAGAAATCTCAAGAGGCAGCAACCTGGATGGAACAACATGGGAGCATCCTTGATGCTTTACGAGGCAATTTACTTCAAGAAATAAATGCTTTTGTTGAGCTGAGTGGTATGCAAGAAACATTGTCTCTTACATCTGCTGTTCTGGTGGCTGGGGTTCCGCTGACTATTGTTCCTGAGCCAACACAAGCACAATGCTATGATATAGATCGGGAAGTCTCTCAACTAGTATCTGAACTAGATGATGGTCTCTCTTCTGCGATAAATGCACTTCAAGTATATTCGTTGGCTTTGCAAAGAATTTTACCATTAAATTACATTACAACGAGTGCAATTCATGGCTGGGCACAGGTTCTGCAACTATCTGCCAGTGCTCTTTCCTCTGATACCCTATCTCTTGCTAGAAGACAGGGTGCTGAACTTATTGCCAAACAACATGGGGAGAATTTTGATTCTATCACACTCAGTCATGATGATCTGTGTCGTAAAGTAAAGAAGTATGCCCTAGAGATGGAGAAGCTTGAAGAGGAGTATGCGGAGCTAGCGAACTCTATTGGTTCAGAGACCGAATCAAACGCTAAGGATCGGCTTCTGTCTGCTTTCATGAAATTCATGCAATCAGCTGGTCTTGCAAAGAAAGAAGATGCCATTGTTTCCATTCAATTTGGGCAATCTAAGAATGATGGAAATGGGGCAAAGGATTCTAGATTGCGTGGGGATCTGAATGAAAAAAGGGAGAAAGTTTTATTTGTTCTGAACACAGCATCCAGTTATATGTACAATGAGGTCAAACATAAGGTGCTCGACAAAATTAATGATTCAAATAAACGTAGAAATGCGAATAACCAGTTACAGATGGAATTTGAAACTATTTTCTGTGGAATTGAGGAGCAAGTAGAGAAGTGTATACTTCTAGCAGGGTTTGTTAATGAACTGCAGCAACTGGTTGGTAGAGATTTACCTAGTGATGACACAGATAAAGGCCGTCCAGGATATTATTCTGATGGAAATTGGGCTTCCATTTTTAAAACCATTTTACATTCCTTTAAGAGCTTGATTGGGCAAATGACTGAAGCTGTTCTTCCGGATGTAATAAGATCTGCAGTTTCTCTGAATTCAGAAGTCATGGATGCGTTTGGACTAATCTCACAAATTCGCGGTTCTATTGATACTGTACTTGAGCAACTCATACAAGTAGAGATGGAGAGGGCATCTTTAGTTGAACTAGAACAGAATTACTTCATTAAAGTTGGTCTCATTACAGAGCAGCAGTTGGCTCTTGAAGAAGCTGCTATGAAAGGTAGGGATCATCTCTCATGGGAAGAGGCAGAGGAGCTTGCTTCCCAAGAAGAAGCTTGTAGGGCACAGCTGGACCAACTCCATCAAACTTGGAACCAAAGGGACTTGCGAACTTCCTCTCTTGTAAAGAGAGAATCTAATATAAAGAATGCCCTCGCTGCTTCTGCACACCATTTTCAGTCTCTAGTTAGTGTCAAAGAGGAAAGAGAGCTGAATGTCTCGAAAAGCAAGGTGCTACTGGACATGCTTGTTAAGCCCTTTTCTGATTTGGAATTGATTGATAAAGTGCTGTCTTCATTTGGAGGTTCTTATACTTCTTACTCAACTGAGATTCCTAATTTAGCAGATTTGATGAGTGCCGGGTACCCAATGTCTGAATATGTTTGGAAGTTTGGCAGCTTATTGAGTCAACATTCTTTCTTTGTTTGGAAAATTGGTGTTATTGATTCTTTTCTGGACTCATGCCTAAATGATGTAGCTTCATCTGTTGATCAAACTTTAGGGTTTGACCAGCTCTTCAATGTTGTTAAGAGAAAGCTTGAAATACAACTTCAAGAACATCTTGGTCGATACCTGAAAGATCGAGTTGTCCCTAATTTATTGGCTAGCATTGATAAAGAAATTGAGCATCGGAAGCAATTGACAGAGTTTATGAAGGAAGCTGCTCTTGATGAAGTAAAAAGAGATGTCGGGGCTTTAAAAAGGGTTCACCTTATGCTTGAGGAATTCTGCAATGCACATGAAACAGCCAGAGCAGCAAGTTCCGCTGCATCTCTAATGAAAAGGCAGGTGAATGAGCTGAGAGAGGCTCTTTGGAAGACTGGCCTGGAGATTGTTCAGATCGAATGGATGCATGATGTTACTTTGACCCCTTCACACAGTAGCAGGGACATGTTTCAGAAATTTCTTGCTGGGGATGATAGTTTATATCCTATTGTCTTAACACTCAGCAGACCTAACATGCGGGAAAGTTTGCAATCTGCTGTGTCAAAGATAGCCAGGTCTATGGAGTCACTGCAAGCTTGTGAACGAACTTCTCTGGCAGCTGAAGGGCAGCTTGAGAGAGCAATGGGGTGGGCTTGTGGTGGCCCAAACTCCAGTGCAGCTGGAAATAGTTCAAGTAAGAATTCTGGAATTCCTTCCGAATTTCATGACCATCTGATCAGGCGAAGGCAACTACTATGGCAAGCTAGGGAAAAGGCATCAGATATTATTAGAATTTGCATGTCTATATTGGAGTTTGAAGCATCAAGAGATGGTATTTTCCGATCTCCCGAAGAGATGTACCCATTCAGGACTGGCACTGATGGCAGAACATGGCAGCAAGCTTACTTGAATGCACTAAAAAGATTGGATATTACTTACAATTCTTTTGCTCGTGAGTGTGTAATGTTGTTTGATAATCAACTTGTTTCTGATACCAACTTCTCATCCATACGAGTCCTTAATGTGTGCTTTGGTGTTTCCTGTATTAGGCACTGAACAAGAATGGAAGCTTGCACAAAGCACCGTGGAAACTGCTTCCAGTGGATTGTCTTCTGCAACCAATGAACTTAGTATTGCCACTCTCAAAGCAAAGTCCGCTTCAGGTCATACCTTCTTTTCCACATATACCAATGGATACATCCTTAACTGTTATATGCTAGGAGCCCACACACACACATCTGTGCTATACATACTATATATCCGTAAATCATGTGAGACCTGCTGGTTTTTGTCATTTACAGGTGATTTACAAAGCACTGTTCTTGCAATGAGTGACTGTGCATGCGAAGCAAGTGTTGCACTTGGGGCATATGCCCGTGTTTCAAATCGTCATTCTACTTTGACTTCTGAATGTGGTTCCATGCTTGAAGAGGTATGAGTTAAAATTTTGATGCTAATTGATATTGCCATTGGATCAGTATTACTAATTTTACGGTGGTTGGTATGTTGTTTATATACTGTGATGCACGTTACGCTGGAATTTATATTTCATGTTTGAGATATGGTAATGTGAGTGGCTGTTTGATTGGGTACATTAGTGTATTGGATCAATATAAATAAGTGTATACCTACTAAGCAGAGACTCTATATACGCTACATTGGTGGGTAGTCACTGTTTAGTTTTGCTAATTTACTGCTATTTCTATTAGCAGGCCAGCACCGGATATGAAGATCTACTAAACAATATCCACTAATACTCCCTTCATGTGTAACAACCAACAACTGTACCACACATTGGATTTTGAATGTGTTAAATACAAATTACCAAAAATGTGGGTCACCAATGTTCAATAACAATATACACTAATAGTCCTTACAATCATTAAAAAAATTCAATTCTAATAGTTAGTTTCAATTGTAATAATTAGTTTCATTAAGACAATAAAAATACACGAGTGGACAGGAAGTCCACAGAAAACTAGCAAAGCAAAAATGAACCCCTATAATGAAAACAAGTAAGAAAACTCAAGAAGCTGACTGATAGAAGCTTTCCAATGAAGGCAACTACATGAAAATCACAAATATTTAAAATCTGACGTCACCGAGCCTCATAATGAAGACCACAAACGAATTTTCTCCATAACTCCCTCTGCTGCCACCTACAGATTCCTCAAAACCATTCTATTATTCATAGGACCTGCTTCCCTTTGTGGTACCCAAATCATTTGGTTTCTTATTTTTATTTGAGGTACCCAAATTGTTTAGAGGACCTGCTTCCCTCATTTAGTTTGGCTATTCTAATAAGTTGGCAATGCCTTACATTTTGGCATTGTTCTAATTGTTAGTCATCCGCACAGTTTATGATTTTATAGTGAGCAGGACTTATAATGATCATTTCCTCTTTACTTTTTGTAAATTTTATTGCTCTGATTTATCTTACCTATTCTAGAAAGTGGGATTATGTGCAGGGAAATAATGGTTATCCATTTTGCTTATTTTTGCTCCATTTGCACTTACTTTTCTGACACAAACTATTTAACCAAAAACAGTTAGTAACGTGTAGATAGTAACATACCGATGTATTATGACATTGGTTCTGTATGAATGCTGTTTCTTTCAGCAATCTAATTATGCATATGAAATAAAGTTGATGGATAGATTGCCTATGATCTTTATGATAGATTATTGAAATACCATTGCATCTTCCTGTTATCAGGCCTTCTATCAACTGAATTTGCCTTTCCTTTCCTTTACTTTTGCAATGTCAAAAGGATTCTATCAACTGGGACTCAATTACTCTTGTCATTTTCAACTTTTTGTTTGACTGGGGATGGCTTCGTTATATGGTTAATGCTTCTCCTTTGGATAGGTGCTTGCAATAACTGAAGACCTACATGATGTTCACAGTCTGGGAAGGGAGGCTGCTGCAGTACATCGTTCTTTTGTGGAGGAACTTTCAAAGGTTTTCCTCATCTCACAATTAAAGTTTTATATCCTTTTTACATTTATTAATTGCAGTTTTACTTATTCTGCGAGTTTTATTTATTTATGCAAATACAACTAGATTTGATTATTTACTGAGTATGTACATAACCATACATGCTGTTTGCGACATCTTGGACAGGCAAATGCAATTCTTCTTCCACTGGAAACAGTTTTGTCCAAGGATGTTGCTGCTATGACTGATGCTATGGCTAGGGAAAGAGAGACCAAGATGGAAATATCTCCCATTCATGGACAAGCCATATACCAGTCGTATTCTTTAAGAATTAGGGAGGCTCGTCAGGCCTTAGAGCCCTTGGTGCCCTCCCTCACATCATCCGTCAAGGGGCTCTATTCTATGTTGACCAGGCTTGCCCGAACTGCAAGTCTTCATGCTGGAAATCTTCATAAAGTATGTCAACAGTATTGACATAAATCATCTTTATTTTATTTTATTATTATTTTTTTACAACAGTATGTTGACTAAATGTAAACCCTTTCTCTCTCATCTTTGATAGGCTCTTGAAGGACTAGGAGAAAGCCAGGAAGTGGAATCACCACTAATTGATGTATCGAGGCCTGATCTTACTTCTGATGCTACTGGATTTGATGAAAAGGAAGAGAGAGAGAACCTCTCTATGTCAAACAGTGAAAGCAACAATGATTTTCTCAGCATTACTGGACTTCCTTTGGAATCTAAAGGATGGTTATCTCCGCCAGATAGTATCTGCAGTAGTAGTACCGAGTCTGGCATTACCTTAGCTGAGGAGAGTTTACCAGGCAGCTTCAATGATCCAGAAGATATAGTACAGCAGCTTTTGCATGGTCCTAGTAGCAGAGAGGGTACAGATTATCAAAACACTGCTCCCGACTCTATAAATGATAGCCCAGAAATCTCAGGTTCTGTACAGTTGGAATCAAAGTACGCAGAGGTTGATAACACTCATATTGGCTTTTTTAAGTCGATACCTAGTGTCCCAAAGTCAACACCAGGTGATGAATCTGCAGCAGTCTGTCCTGATATTTCGCGTCCTTTGAATGAGAACACACAGGAGATGTTTGGGAGTAAAGATGAAATATCCTCACTAAACAAGGCCAAAATTAAAGATGAAAGTCGTTCTACCCGAGTCGGCAGGGGTAAGTATCGAGCCTATCCTATAAAATTTTCTACCTGTCTTTATTTTTTCTCACTCTCCTCTGCATGGATATCTACTGTTTCATTTCTTGCCTTTTTTTATCTACTTGTTATTTCTTTTATTTCTTCTGTATGAACAAAGAAGTAATTGGATATAATATATATATATACATACACATATATATATATATGTATTATATAGGAAATTATTCTGTAAACACAATTGCTGAAACTAATAAGCTTATTAAACACTAAAAATGTCTCTGAACAAGTCGAGCCGAAAGGAGAAGAAAAATGGGATTGGGCAGAGCTGTTAAGCTTTTGTCCAGCAGAACACAGCTGAAAATGTATACTCAATGGGAAAAGACAAAAATATGGAGAGAGTAAGCGATTAGAATTGAAGTTGGAATGAAGATATTTGTGTTGTAGGGAAAATAAACTAAGGGGATTCTTTAATTTGATATGTAGGATAAACGGATGATACATTCTAAGTACTCATAATAAATTCTGGTCCTACTAGGATTATTTAATAACTCTAGCCCTATTTTGACTTTTCAAATAACATAAATGAAACATAACAAATAAGAAAAGAAGCGGCATGAGAGAACATGCTATGAATTGATTAGAACTCTTGAGATCAGTAAAGATTTAGGTTGAGAAATTGTTGTGCAACTTTATTTTGTGGTAGAATCTTTGCATGTGGTCCAAAAGAATTTGTGTAATTTTATAATATGATGATGCATCTTCAATTGTTCTTGCCTTTTAGTTGAAACTATTGTAATTCATTTTCCATTCACTGTCTGATACATACTACCTTTGTTCTGGTGATTTTCAGGTTCTTAATACTTGAAATTAATAATTGTCATTGTTGCACTTACCTTTGTTACTTTTGGTTATTTTTATAGGTAAAAACCCTTATGCAATGTCGGTCTTAAGACGAGTTGAGATGAAACTAGTTGGTCGAGACATTGCTGACAATAGGTAACTGCTGCTTCTGGGGATCTGTATGGGTTTTTGGTCATAATTAATATTGACATTGAATCTTTTGTGTATTCTCAGAGAGATTAGTATCGGGGAGCAAGTTGACTATCTACTTAAGCAAGCCACGAGTGTTGACAGTCTTTGCAACATGTATGAAGGTTGGACACCATGGATTTGAACTTGTGAAGATGGTCTGTTTAAACTACATCAAGTCTTATGTTTACAGAGCAAATGACAGGGTCAGGAATGTTTGGTGAACTCATTCACTTTTGCCATGAATAATCAGGCACACTTCAGGATGGAACTTTTTACCTCCTGGGCAAGCTTCAGCAATCCGACTGTCTTTTGGCTTCAAATTTTGAGGTTCCTGATCATTAAATTCACCACGAGGATTGTTTTTGTGAGCAATTGGCCACAAGTGTCTAATGGCCTCATTAATTGGCAATATTGAAACACCTGCTCAGGCCTCTGCACACCCTATGACAGTCAGCAGTTTATTGGGCGGAGGACATGTGGAGCCTTGTTAAAATTACTGCTGCGTGCGAACCACTCTTCTGTTGTGAAGCTGAATTTGGTTTCCAAAAAGTACAAGGGCATGCTTAGCCGCCTCTACTGCTTTAATGCCATCATGAAGATTGGAGTCTGGGACGGACAACCTCACACGGTATTATGCAACTAGAATACTGCGGGAGGTTTGAGAAAGGTCATTCCACATCCACAGTTCACCATTGACGGTGCAAGGATAATTCAATTTAAAGTAGTATCAAGAGGATATTGAGTTCTTGGCAGCTTGCTGTCATGGTGCATCATGTTCGTGCGTGCATCTCTGTTCAATTCTCAGTATCTACGCACAAATCCAACATTGGTTCTGTATCACCAATTTTCATACCAATGTGAGTAACATAAATCTTTCCTTTTGCTGTAATTTATGCTCAGACAGGTCGACCAGTTCTTTCTCACTTGTTGTCTATCTCATTGGGTAGGCAATCAGTTTACTTTTCCGCAGGTTGTGTTTCAGGAGGTGCAGGATCCTACCTCTGCTGGAATACCAAATGAACAAGACTGACATGGAACGTTTAATTCAGTTACAGTTAGATGGGCTCCGTTGTCGGCCGGATTTTATTTTTTATTTGGAGTTTTGGCCCGCAGTGAAACTGACTTTTCTTTTGCGTATTACCTTTCAAATTTGTGTGTATCGTTCTATTTGCTGGTAAGGAGATTTGAAACTAAATGACGCAGCAGTATTTTCTTCCTATTTACTTGAGTTTTTCGGCACATGATACGACATATACAGAGACATTTGGAAAATTGGCTAAAATGAGGATTATCTCATCTTTTGAAATCGTCAAAATCAAGTAACGATGACATATCTATGAAATATTGGTTTTATAGTGTTTTGAAAAGTAATCAAACAATTACATCCGTTCATCGTATATTGTGGGTTAGTTTTCGTTAGATATTATTTATATTCAATTTTAAATTTTAAATTATTTTTAATTGCATAATGTATGATGAACGGATGTGTATTAATTATCCGGATCCCCAGAGGATCCGAAGAGGATCATTTTTCAAAAAATTTGCCCGACGTTTTGATTCCCATAACGTCGACTTAAAACAATGGTAATACTTGCTTGCAGTGGTTTTGGAATTGACCGACCATTGTGGGTGCTTGTTTCCAATCAAAATTTAAAGCCCACAGACATAAATATTTGCACTTTTTATAATATATAATATACAAAGACCACCTGAATTTCCCCTACAGTACTAGCTGTACTAGCTGGCTAATGGTTGTCTCTATCAATTTTATTTTTTTAATATTTGCACTTTTTTTAATATATAATATACAAAGGCCTACAATGTTTGTCTCTATCAATTCCCCCTACAGTACTAGCTGGCTAATGGTTCCACAAAAAACAATATTTAGCAAGTGTGCAACTAAGGATTTCGACTAAAATGTCGCATATGTCAGTATGATTATAGCACGCACAACACTAACCCCACAGCCATGTGCACATGACACTGGTGTCACATGAAAAACCAAGAAAACTGTATTCTTAGTGGTCAAATGTGACTGCAAAATTATTATACGAAAGCTTTGATGAAGATGTATTGGGAGCCAAAAGAAAATTTGATTTGATGCTCGCATTGGATTGTACTTAAAAATATCAATGAAAATATCCTCTTCGTTAAAAAATAGATGTATATGCATATGGAAGACTTTCATTTGTAACATATCTAGTAACTTTCAACATGCTATGCTGATGAAAAGGGTTAAAAAAGAGAAAAGATGGGACGGGTAAGAAGGTAGGTTAATTTAAATTACTATACGACCTTTAGTTATATATATTATTTTATTATTATTATTTTATGTTTGAAGGGCTCCAACTCCAACTAAGGAAAAAAGAATTAAAAAAAACAAAAGTCATGAACTTTTACAAAGTTTTTAATTTGTCATATGACTTAAAATTTTAAGCAATTTGTCACATGAATTTTCTAAAATCATTAATTTGTCATCTCATCCTAATTCCGTTAAGTTTTGGAGTATGCTATCAACACGCCCATTTTTATTTCTCACACACCCCTTATTAATTTCTATCTATTGATATTCTTCAATTCATCCAATCTGACGATCGAAAATTAATAGGTTGTGTGAGAAGTAAAGGATAGAACACCCCTAAGTTTTACATCCAAAAGCAGGTTATTTTGAACTTTTGACCTTATATTTTTCACAAGTTTATTCATTCATTATGTTTATACAACTACATATGTGCACTAGGGGTAAGCGATAAATTGGTTTTCAGCTTTTGACTTACCTTTTACAAGTTCTCTACTTATCTTTTGATACAAAAAAAACATGTCACGTTCGTTTCATAAACTTATGGTGAATGTGGGACCATGATTTTCTAAAGCCAGAGTATGATGGATCGGAATATGAATACCTCAGAAGTTCAGTCATGAACTCAACAACTCCTATTAGAGTGAGTTGCATAGACGGACTAATGATGCCACCACATTCTATGTACCAGAAAGGTAGGTGAAGTATGCCAACTTCAATGAAATTAACCATTCTTGTTTCGCAAGATATGAAAACTTGATCTGATCGGGGATTAGATCAGTTTCCTATATTATTAGAGATTCCTACAATTTAGGGATTGGTGTGCGCTATAAGTAATTGCACTTCTAAGAGGATGCAATATCTACTCCTAGTTATCCATTGATATTCTCCTAGTTTAATACAAATTGTATATCCTAAAAGGACTATCTCTCAATTAGTATAAATACACCCTTTTAGAGTTCATCACTAGTAACACAATTATCGCATTCTCAATTTTCTTACCTACTACTTGAGTATCATAAATTGCTGACTAACTTACTGTCGAAGAACCTTTGGCCGGTACCCCACCTGTGCAAAGGTGATCTTATGATCATATTTTTTTTCTACATGTATTCGAGTTTGTGTATCTCCTCCACACATGGTGATGCGGAAATTTGTTTATTTATTTATTTATTTATATATATATATATATTTTTAACAGCTTAAAAGATAACATCCATGATTCAAACCTTGAAGTTGGTTTATTTTGGAAATATGGTCGGATTGAACTATATTCTGCGGTAAGGAAGCAAAGGATGAAAAATAGGCTTAAAGATTTGAGTAGAATTACTTGACTAAAAGATATGCAAGGAGGTCCGGTCCATAAACTTAAATAGTCAAAGTCCATGACTAAGGCAAAAAGTAGAGCGTTTAATTTTGGAAGGGACATGCCCTCTTCCTAGCAACAAAAATTGTCTAAAAACACTTGAAAGTAAAAACTACGATTAACCCTTATTATAAAAAATAGCTGTAGCATCAATAACCTTACCTTTTTCAGCAGCAGACGGAATGTCGGGAGCAACTTTAAAGTTGGTAGGTGGAGTCACTTCAGGATCCATCATCAAAGTCATCACTCAATCCAGTTCCCTTATATGCCTTTAGCTCTACAATTTCATTTAACATGTTGGGAGGAATGAGAAAGTTGGCTTTCTTTATCTTTGCCATCTTGTTGTAGGCATCCCAACCATCTTGGTGGTCCCATCCAACAAAGCCAGTGATGTAGCCCAAGTCATAGCTTTCGACATACTTCAACTCAAAGGCATCTTGGAAAATTGCATGGATATCTGTCAAGTCTGCCTCATTCTCATTTCTCGCTTGTCACGTTGAAGTCTCTTTAAGTTCTATTGGAGGATGGTGCGATCTGTGTTCCAATTACTCCGCTCTGCAGCCAGTGTGTGCTCCACCTTATCATTTGGCCTTCAAAGTTTGCTCCAACTCCTCTATGAACCTAGTTAGTATTTCCTTAAGGTTAGTGGCCTTGTTCTTTTCATAGACTAGATGCTCAATCAAGTTGTCCTGCTTGACCTCATAGGAATGCTCTGCTGTTTGTTTCTCCACTAGCACCTTCTTTAGCTTCGTAGATCTTTTCTGCAGCTGCCTTTCTAACTGAAATTTGCATCCAAGTTTTCTTTTGTTGGTTGCCTTTAGCTTGTGAATGTTCTTGGTTTGATTAAAGAGTGCTGCCTTCATCCCCACATGAGCTTGTTTTCACAAGTTTATGGGAATGGGGAAAAAGTACAAGAAATCAATACAAATTTAATAAAAGGCGAATAGGGACTTACTGCATATTAGTATGAGCGATGACTGCACAGATCATCGCTTAGATATGCTCCATGTTATGTAGACTACTGTATTAATGGAAGAGCATGCCAATTCCAAGCATGTTTGAGGCTCATGGGAAGTTAAACTTAGCTTGCTGCTGCAGCAGAAGAACCTATTGCTCTGGCAAACATCAAAGGGGGTTACATAGGATTGCCTACTGACGTATGTATTGGAACGACTGTCAGAGTCGAGGCAGAGTCAAAGTTGAGAACCCATTACCTCATTTAAATTCAGAGTTGAAGTTGGAGCATGTCGTTACTTCTTGTTGCTGTCGATGTTCTTTTTGGTGTTGTTGTTGCTAGTCTTGCTGTTGTTGTTGTTTTGATTGGTATTGTTAATGTGGTAACTCTATATGTTTTCCACTGCCTGCAAGATTGTGCTTTCATGGGCATCGAAGCAACCTCGACCTTCACTTAGAGATGACTTTCTCTCTTCTTCCTCTCTAATCTTTGGGAGCAATGAGGTCTATTGCTGCTCCGCCTCAAGAAGCCTTAACTCAAACGGAGTGGATGGCTAAGTTTTAAAAGCCTAATTGATTTTCGCTTGCGGAACTATGGAGTTCCCCTCCTCGACGGATTTCCTTTTTAGCAGCCTACCCTTGTTGGACTTCTTCATGGCATCATTGAACCTTTTCCTCTTCTTCTTCTCCATCCTAAATATTCTGGAGTTTCGTTTGAACATATCTCATTTTTAGCATCTTCCACGTTAATTTATAGTGGCTAGGACATGGGATATTCAAAGCAGCGCTTGATGATGGCGTCTCTGCTGTGCTCTATATTCCAGTCAGGAGTAATAAGTCACTTCCAATTGCAGTTTGCTGTAGAAATGAACTTGAAGCCTTGGTCAATCAGCTTTGGCTGACACAATCCGATGTTTTTCACATCATTGTTTCACTGTAAGTTAACAGACGTAGAATTCCAGACTTGAACCTAGAGATGTCGCATTCTCAATCTACACTCCCCATTGAAGACTTGGCCGCGATTGGAAGAAGTAATGTGTCTCTAAACTCTTTCTTATGGCGTACATCAGGAAAAATTTCTGAAGCACAAGGTCTACTTCATACCATTTATTTAGTAGCTCAAAGCATGTGATAATGTGAAAGGTGGCAGAAGTGAGATTGCAGAGTGTGACATTGTAGCATACCAGAATCTCCTTCAGAAGGGTTGACAAAAGGAATTTCAAGCCTAAGTCTAAATATTGCACGCATATCTTATGTGGACGATCAGGATCTGAAGATTTAGGCAATGCTGCCTAGGTATTATGTCTAGCTTCCTACCAGACCTTACAGTAGTTTAGGAAATCTTGGCGAGGTCAAATGGAAACTTAGTCATCTCCCTTGCTTTGCACTTTGAGAGTAATAATTGGCAGCAGGAGTAGGAAGAACATTGGAAGAAGATATTTCTCGATTTGAAAAGTTTGGGAAAAGAAATTGAAGGTGAGGATTTCACGCAAGAAGTTTATGTTGAAATTTCAGAATAAAAGTGGAGGCTTTAGCGCTTGGAAATGTGAAGGAAACAAAGAAGAAATCTGAAAAAATTTATAAGAGATATTTTGGAGTC